AGATTAAATAAATAAAAAAATAGAGGGATTAAATTATAGTTTAGATTTTCTCATGTTCAAATCTTAACTTGAGGGAACTTGTAAGGTTCGTAAGGCCCACTATGAGTTTTATTCTGGGGAAATTACCCATAGGTCCCATGTGGAACATGTGGACACCATTTAATCCCATAACTTTTTGAGTACACCCAAAAGTCCTTTCCCCTCTCTCTCTGCTTTTTGCTTCCCTCTTTACGCCTCCTCCTCTAACCCTAATCTCAGTCCTAAAGTCAAACAAGAAGGCGATGAAGAACAAGAACAAGAAGACGATGAAGAACAAGAACAAGAAGATGCCCATCCTCAGATCTGTGCTTAGATTGAACAGATTTGTGTATATATCTTTGTCAATTTCTCTCTCTTTCTCTCTCTATTTATAGATTTTTTTTGGGATAGTTGTTGATCTATGGTTGTTGTTGTTGATGATGAAATAGATCTATAATATCATTGAAACAGATCTGTAATGACTCAGATTTGTACAGATATCACACAGATTTTGTAATGAGAAAATTTTCGAATTCTGAACAAGTAATTTTCGAGTTTTAGTTACAGGCGGTGAAAACTGTAAAATTTTGCAGTTTCAAATTTTTTTTTTTGGTGCTGGAATGAGTCATGGTTTAAAACTGTAAAATTTTGCAATTTTATAACTTTTTTTAGAACTGTAAAATTTTACAGTTTCATAACATGTTTTAAACATTCCGACGAGTCTCCGGCGATGTTGAACATTCCGACGAGTCTCCGGCGACCGTTTGACGGAAGTCCGACGGTAGTAAGATGTGAACAGTGTCTGTAAATTTAAAAAAAAAAAAAAAGGATTTTTTGATAACAATTAAAAATGTATTGGATTAATTGGTGCAAGTATTTTGTTTTGGGATTAGCTGGGTTTTGAACTTAGTACATGAGACTTATCAGTAAGTTCCCCATTTATTTTAATGATTTGAATCATTCATTTCGTAAGTCACATATATATTATCTATCAAATAAATTAAGTCGATCCAATAATCGTAACAATTTTATTTTGTTGTATTTATCTCTAAAAAAATTGATGGTTTATTTTAAAACATACTCACCATGTTTGGTTTGTCTTTTAGGGAAAAAAAAAAGCTAGAAATTTTTTTGAAAAACTGAAAACTAATTTGATAAAGATAAATATTAAAAATATATTTTAAAAATTATTTCTAGCCTCTCAAAAAATAAAATTATATAAAAATGATAAAAAAAAAACTATTTTTTCATTTCTTTCACCAAATTAATTTTTTATTTTAGAAAAATTTTTTAAAATAAATTTTTGAAAATCAAACCAAACATGACTACTTTAATTTTAAGGCAAACACAATAAAATAAAAATATTAAGATTATTGGATGGACTTAATTTTTTTCATGGATGATGTAGACAGGAAATGAACGATTTAAATTATCAGAACGAGACCTATAGTGAGCTCCACGAATCTCTTAAATTTTCATAAGTTGAGATTTGAAGATGAGATAAGAGGCCTATGAATCTTATTGTATGCACTCATTTTGAAGTAGAGCAGAGATTAGTAAGTAGCGCTTGAAATGGACCTAGCATGATCCAAGCCCAAGCCCAAGCCCAGAAAAGTCGGCCTACCTCAGTATATTAAAGTCTGGTCCATTCTTATAATGACCCGGCCCAGAAAAGTCTGGTTGGTCCGCGGCACATCAACACTATGAAGTTGGATTAATTATTAATCTTAGGCCACAAAATAAAAACTGAATCACATAAATGGAGTTTTTCTATTGGGCTATAAGCCTGCTATGGCCTCCAAAAGCCATCATCGGCCAACTGGAAACTGATGGTCATGCCCACCATAGCATAAATGCATTCAATTTTTTATTTTTATTTTTTTCATCTTTAAAGTAAGATCAAAACATAAATTTTCTGCATAAATCATTCCCTTCGTTAAATTATAATACTAAGATAAAAGGGAGAAAGAGACATGACAGATCCAATCCAAGAGCAATAACAGAACAATCAAGCCATTGTTGGCTTAGTAATTGAAACGTTCCCTTATCAGACGTGATATCTAAATTTAAATTTTACTATTGTATATTACGCTTTTTTCCTTCTATCACTCTCTCTTATTGATAGTATAAATAAAAGCTCACTTGATATGGTTTGCGTAGAAAGAAGCCAAGTTCAATTATATTTTTGTAAATGTTTTGATCCAAATTAATTGGATGTAACAATTATCTTCTATCATATTTACCCACCCAAAAATCTTCTATCATTTTTTTCTCCGCAAGAACTTTGTTGTTGTAATCCAATGGTCCAAGTTAAAATTTAAACTTGAGCCATTAAATTATATTATTTGCTAATATGTATTGTTGTGGTAAAAAAATTACCAAAAAAATCATTACAGAAAAATAATGACAGAGGATTCTAATTCCATACATACACGGCACCATGTTGGACAATATTTGTGCATCAACGAATACATTGGGATACACAATGCTGCTTCCTGAATTGTTCTAAAACCGAGCATGCAGGGTAATATAAAATGTCAGACGACACTAATTGGTTTAAGTTGAGATGTCAAAATTTGCCAAATGTATAATTGTTTCTCTAATTTTCCCAGTTTCCACACATGATGCAGTGGTTACTGTTTTGTTTCTTTTATTTTTTTGTTTTATTCTTTTTTGGAAGAGGGTGTTTCACAGAATTAATACATCATGAAAGCAACAGCAGTAATATAATTATATCATTAATTAATAAAAAAGAGACCAAATACAAGACACAGATTCTGGCACAACAATGTTCACTAGGGAGAACAAAGGTTTCATAACCAGAACATTATTCTTAATACTTCATACACCTCATATGTAAGACTAGTTGTACTAATATTTCAATTTTACCCCTGTGAAATCATTTTCATTTATTTAATTTAGCAAGTGGGAATAGAGACACCACAGGCGTTGGCAATCCTCTTGGTATTGGGAGCGTTGACATATTTACTCAGATTTGGATCTTTTTTGTACCCACAGAAACAAGGCTTCTGCTCCCTCACCTTCACACAACACGTCGTCGACGGGGGTTTTGATGACGTGAATGCATCGATGCACGGGCTCAGCTCGGTCGGGTTACACGTCACCGCCTTCACCACGCTCGCTTGCCCTACGAGTACTGCCACCACCACCGCCATGGCACACAGCAGTGCAAGGCTAGACTGCGTCTTCATCTTCAACAAAAGAACCAAAAGGTCACAGAAAGAGAGAGATGGTGTAGAGGGAGTGTGAATGGGTGCACCTTTGGCCAAGCCTTGATGCGCAATTTATACAGGCCTCAGGGGCTGCGTGACCAAATGTTTGGTTCTTTGGGTCTGGGTGGGGTTCCCTCTGATTGAATGGGATTCTGTCACTTCACCGATTTGCTTGATTTGTGGATAGTAATCGTTGGTGATAAATGATAAATAATGAATATTCCCACTATATTCTTTATTTGGGTAAATTAGGCCCACATCTCTAAAGTTTCAATTTAATACAGATCGTTTTTCACATTTAAAAAAGTTACATTCTCCTCTCTGAAATTTGTAATTTTATTATAAATTATCTCCTAAATTGTTCATATCATATCCTAAATTTTTTTAAATGATCATCTTGCTTTGTTTTCCTATTATTTTATATAAATTTTTCAAACACAATGATATAACTTAATGGTAACATTTCACTTTAAAACAGACACACACAAACATGATTTATATTTATAACAATATCACTATTACAACATTTTTATGATATTTTTTGTATAAATTTTTATATATGAATATCATTTTTTTTTATTTCCACTATTATACCTAGACTAGATCAATTTAACTTAGATATTTTAAAAAGTATAAAATTTGTAATTTTTTTTTTTTAAAATCAATGAATACAACAAAATAAGATAATACATTAAATTTTTATATTTTTTTTGTATTTGGTGATTTTTTAAAAAAAATCACAAAATATTATACCTTTTAAATGTATTTAGATTAGGTGTATCAAAAAAAAAAATTACTTAAAATATTAAAAAAAAAACATTCAATTTTTTTTTTCTTTTTTAAAGTAGGATCAAAACCTAATTTTTTTTTCATAAAGCATTCCCTTTGTTAAATTATAATACTAAGATGAAAGGGAAAAAGAGACATGATAGATCCAATCCAAGAGAAATAACAGAACAATCAAGATAGGGTTGACTTAGTGATTGAAATGCTCTCTTATCATACGTGAGATCTGAGTTTAAATCTTATTATTGTATATTACACTTTCTCCTTCCGTCACTTTCTCTTATTGATTGTATATGTTAAAATGTTTGAAAAAGATATGAGAATTGTGTATCTTTATTATATAGAATGATTTGAATACAATAGGAGAGTCTATATTTATAGATTGTCTACAAACCTAGATAAGTATAAAAAGAGATAGAGATGGAAAGAGATAGAGATACAAGGAGATAGAGAGAGAGAGAGATAGAGATAGAGATAGAGATAGAGAGAGATAGAAATAAACTATATCTACAATACAAAGAGATAAATATAAATCTAAATCTATAAATCTAAATCTAATATATACATTAACAGCCCCCCTCAAACTCAAGGTGGGTAGGCATCAACCAACTTGAATTTGGAAACTAGATCACTGAAACGACAAGGAGAATGAACCTTGGTGAAGATGTCGGTTGTCTGATTGGCAGAGATAACAAAGATAAGGCGAATAGTGCCACTAGTAACATGTTGTCGTATGAAGTGCCAATCAATCTCAATATGCTTTGTGCGATCATGGAAGACATCATTATGGGCAATCTGAATAGCACTCTGACTATCACAATAGAGGTTAATCGTAGTAGAATGAGAAACCCCCATAACAGAAAGAAGTCATCGAAGCCACGCAAGCTCCTGAGTAGTGTCAGCAAGAGCACAATACTCAGCCTCCATACTAAAACGAGCAACAAGAGTTTGCTTCTTGCTACGCTAGGCAATGAGAGAGTCACCCAAGAAGGAGCAAAATCCTGTAGTAGAATGGCAATTAGTAGGATCCCCTGCCCAATCAGCATCAGAAAATGCATGTAACTGCAAGGAAGAGTGAGCGGAATAGTGAAGACCACGAAACATAATGCTTTTGAGATATCGTAAAATGCAAATTAGAGCATCATAATGTAAAGAGCGAAGAGCAGCCATGAACTGACTAACAATGTGAACAGCATAAGTAATGGCTGGACGAGTAACAGTGACATAGACAAGACTGCCAACTAGTTGAGGATATAAAGTAGCATCAGATAATTGGTGGCCGTCAAGAGGTGTGAGACGAGTCTGAGGATCAACAGGAGTAGAGGTAGTCTTGCAATCGGTAAGAGCAGCACGAGCCAAGAGATCAGAAGTATACTTGGCTTGGGAGAGAAAGTAACCAGACGGATCATGAGAGATTTCCAAGTCGAGAAAATAGCTAAGAAGACCCAAATCCTTCATCCCAAACTAACGACTGAGAAATTGTTTGAGACTAGAGATACCCACTATGTCATCGCCAGTGATGATCATATCATCCACATAGAGAATAAGAAGAATAGTACCACACTCTGTCTTACGAATAAAAAGGACAGAATCATAGGCACTGGAGGAGAATCCAAAATCATGAATGGTGGAGCTAAGCTTGGCGAGCGAGGCATGATGAGCATGTTTCAAACCATACAAAGCACGGAAAAGTTTACGAACTTTGGAGGGCGGCACAAAGGAACCAAGTGGAGGTTGCATATAAACTTCCTTAGTGAGATCACCATTGAGAAATGCATTATTCACATCCATCTAACAAAGTTTCCAGTGGTGAACACCAGCAACGGCAAGTAAGCTATGAACAGAAGTCAGAAAGGCAACAGGAGCAAAGGTTTCTTCATAGCCAATCCCATATTCTTGAGTAAATCCCCGGGCAACAAGATTTGCTTTGTAACGCTCAATAGAATCATCAGAATGAGTCTTGAGCTTGTAAACCCATTTACAACTAACAATACTTTTTCCATGAGGAAGATCAACCATATCCCAAGTATGAGTTTTATCAAAAGCCTGTAGTTCATCAGTCATAACTTGCTGACAAAGATGGTTAGAAAAAGCCTTTTGATAGGAAGTAGGTTCATGAGAGGAAAATACAGTAACACCAATAATGAAATCACGAAAAATGACAGAAGGTTGTGTTACCCGAGGAAAATGACGAAGAGGTACCCCAGAAGTAGAACCAGGAAGTGGAGCAGGAGCCTCAGGATGGGTTGGAGGTAGCATGGCAGGACTAGGAGCAGGATCAGAGAGTGGAGCATCAGCAGGACCAGGAGACGGAGCAGGATCCTCAGGATGGGTCGGAGGCAGCATAGCAGAAGTAGTGTCTGTATCAAGCTCATCAAACAATAGAGAGGGATCTGTGAAGAATGATGTCGTGGGAGGAGTAGACAGATGAAACTTAGATATAGAAGAGAACATCTTATCTTCCGAAAATACCATATGACGAGAGACACGAAGACGTTGAGAAATAGGATCCCAATAACGATAGCCTTTATGTTCAATCCCATACCCCAAGAAGCAACATAGACGGGCTCGAGGTTCTAATTTGGAACACTCATGTGGTAAAAGGAGGACAAAATAAGCACATCCAAACACATGGAGATGAGAATAGACAGGAGGGTGGCCATATATGCGCTCATATGGGGTATGATTGTTGATGGTAGGAGAAGGCACACAGTTGATAGTATAGGCAGCTATGAGAGCGGCTTCCCCCTAGAAGTGCTCAAGACAAGAAGAGGAAATTAAAGAAGCACGGACAGTATCTAAAAGATGACGATGTTTACGCTCAGCACGACCATTTTATTGGGAGGTACCAGGACAAGAATAGTGAGAAAGTGTGCCATTTTGACGAAGGAATCTCAAAAAAATTTGTTTCTTTGTATTCTTGGGCATTATCAACACGAAAAACTTTGATGGTAAAAGAAAATTGAGTTTTGACCATTTGTGAAAAACCATAGTATATTTGTGGTAACTCACAGCAAGACTTCATAAGAAATAACCAGGTAAAATGAGTGAAATCATCTACAAAAATGACAAAGTATTTAGATCCCCCCATAGTGGTATTAGGTGCCGGTCCCTAAATATCAAAGTGTATGAGATCAAAAAGTGTATGAGACATAGAGGTACTGGATAGAAATGGTAAAGCAGATTGTTTTGCTAGATGACAAGATAGACAATCTACTTTATCATTTGGAACAGGACCTAACTGACCACTGGAAACTAGAGATCGTAAACGACCAAAGGAAACATGACCTAACCGAGAATGCCATAAGGCAAGAAGAGAACTAGGAGTAGTAGGAGCAGCAGTCTGGACAGTGGAAGAACTGGAGGAGCGAATGCGAAGGTAGATGAGCTCATACAGACGGCCATGTCTATGACCGATCCCAAGAGTCTGTCCCGTCTTCGGATCCTGCACAACACAACCAGTTGGAGAAAAGAGAATAGTGAGGCCATGATCATAGAGTTGACCAATTGAAATAAGATTAAGTGTAAGATTGGGGATCAAATAAGTGTGGGGTAGAGAAACAGTGGAGGAGGAAATATGACCTATATGACTAACATGCGTTAGAGAGCCATCATCAGTGTGAATAACAGGTAACGTAGAAGAAGATGTAATAGAGGAGAAAAGTGTAAGGTCAGAAGTCATATGGTTGTAACAAGCGAAATCAAAATATCAAGAAGAGGTACCTGGAGTAACTGAGAGGACGGTAGAGGGTGTGCCAGAGGGAGAAATAACCTTTTTGACAATAGCTTCAATGTCTTGAAGAATGTAAAGTGGTGACGGGGTAACAACGGATGATGAACTAAAGGCAACTGTAGTAGATACAAGATGTGTTAAAGACTTATCTCGGCTGAATATTGTGGAGGGTCCAGAATAATGACCGTGTTGAGGATAACTGTTTGAACGAGCTATGAAGTGATAAAATAATGAATCATAAAGAAGAATCAGCGATGGCGGAGTAGAACTGAATAAAACAGAGTGCACCAGTGAATCCAGAATGTCGAAAATACCCAGGAAATGAGTGAAATGACCAAAAAATAGGCAAAATAAAGAAAAGGTCAGTGATGATGTCAGTAGGGGTATAGATGACGTCAGCAAAAGGCGCGGCACATGTTAGCAGAACGGAGGCACGACGTAGGATTGCAGTGACGGTGCACGGCTCATAGTAGCAAGACAGTGCACGGAGGGCGCAGGAAGGGCTAACGTCAGGCTAACGTGAGCGATAACTGAAAGGCACGTGAGGGTGCGTGTGAGAGTAGCGGCGAAAGACTTGACACGCCGACGATAAAAACGGCATGTGAGGGCGCGTCCAATAGTTTTTGGCGACAGGCCTGGTGGCGTTGGAACCGGGAGAGAATTCCGAGCACGAGGATGAAAAATTTGTAAAAGTTTGGTCAACAGCGATAACGAATAATGGTGTAATTTGGAACCCTATGCTCTATGCTCTAATAATGCCACTGTGTACGATCAATAAGCAAGAGAAAAGAGGAGCTAGGATTTAAGACCTGCGCTCTGATACTATGTTAAAATGGTTGAAAGAGATATGAGAATTGTGTATCTGTATTATATCGAATGAATTGAATACAATAGGAGAGCATGCATTTATAGGCTGTCTACAAATCTAGATAAGTATAAAAAGAGATAGAGATAGAAAGAGATAGAGATACAAGGAGATAGAGATAGAGAGAGATAGAGATAGGGATAAACTATATCTACAATACAAGGAGATAAATATAAATCTAAATCTATCTAATATATACATTAACAGTATAAATAAAATCACTTGATATGGTTTGCGTAGAAAGAAGCCAAGTACAATCATATTTTGTAAACGTTTTGATCCAAATTAATTGGATGTAACAATTATCTTCTATTCTATCATTTTTACCCACTCAAAAATCTTCTATCATTTTTTTCTCTGCAATAACTTTGTTGGTGTAATCCAATGGTGCAAGTTTAAATGTAAACTTGAGCCATTAAATTATATTCTTTGCTAATATGTATTGTTGTGGTAAAAAAATCACAGAAAAATCATCACAGAAAAATAATGACAAAGGATTCTAATTCCATACATACACAGCACCATGTTGGACAATATTTGTGCATCAACGAATACATTGGGATACACAATGGTGCTTCCTGAATTGTTCTAAAACCAAGCATGCAGGCATAGCTCGGCTTTTTCGCGTCCTTTTCGGAAGGTTTGAAAGAAAGCCCTACAGTTCGGACTCCCGCGGTTCTGAATCTAATTTCACAAGTGCAATGTGAAATTAATAAACACCAAAGAGTCCAAATCCGACAAGCCTTTTGAAAAATTGATTTTAGGATCAAAAATGCCAAAATTGGACTGCTTTTCCAGATACAGAGTCGCCACCTAAATATTTTATTTTTGGAGAAATTTAGGAAACCCATGACTCGTGCCAAAGGCTACATGTCCGTCATTACCAAAGTTGTCTCGGCTCGGGAACTTAGGTATGAGAGGGGAAGGTCATGAATTGACCACCCCCGCTTGCCCAATCAAAGATCGGCCTCTACTAATCATGATATGATTTTTTATAAACATTATGTGCTCTTATTCTGATTATTAAGCTAGCATTACTATGTGATGCGCACAAGTAAGTATAGACTAGTTTGCTTAATTTGAAACAATTCAACTCATGTTTGTTTTTGAGAAAATGGTTTGAATTTGCCACCTCAAGTGGGCTTAAAGTTTGCGGATTTGCCACAAAACATAGTGGGCTTAAAACATTATTTGTCACTTAACAAAGTGGGCTTAAAATGCGCATTTGTTGAATCGTTCCAATTCAAACAACAAGTCTTCATCCATAGGCATTCAAGTAGTTTAGCATTTAAGCACATAGCCTCATGGTAATCATGCTAATCATGGCAACATTCACACTTATACAAGTATGTTAAAGCATAAAAACTCACCTAGTACTCCAAGCTAAGAAGATATGAGTTAGTAAAATATGCATGATTCCTAACTATGCAAAATGTCTAATGCAACACATGCAAAGAATGCAATTAATAGACTCGACTACTAATATGGCATATGAAGCAATTTGATAACATGCGATTAAATACGTATTCAAAGAATTATTAAAATAACAATGTAGTTTGAATGATGCGCCGAGCCTCGGTGCGTGCAATATGAATGAATGAATGCAAGCATAAGGCATAAGGTATGCTAATCGAAACATGTCCATAATCTAACCATCAAAAGCGATTAAATAAAAAGGAGAACGACGTAGTGTTGGAAGACATACACACGCACGCATACTTATTACAACATTATGCCCTCGCGAAGGAGGGTTCAAATGAATAAAAGCTAACTAGCTAACTAGGCTAAGCTAATTAAGCTATTTATTACAATGCTTCAAATGAATAATAAGCTTACTCTAGTCTAGTTATTTAAAACAAT